ATTAATAAATCAAATTTAAATAAATTACAACATTACAAAGATATAATAGGAATACATTTTTTTCTTCATGCGAAAACAATATTTTACATTTTTGTAGTAATATTAAATTTAGATCCAGAAATAAAGTGTAAAAATGTACATAGTTTTATTCCTTATTAATGAATAATTATTATGCTTTTATACCAAATTATGAAATATTTTAATCCATCTAGTCAAATCGAAATAAATATTTACATTGTAACAACAATATAGTGGTAATTGATTTAACAATTAGTTAATATTATCTTGTAATATGGACATAATAATATATGGTTCCAGAGACCATTTCATACGTCATCTAGGTTACTTTATCTACTCTTGCATACCATAGTTTAAGATTTGTAATTGTATTAGTTATTTTTCACATCATCATACCATTATTGTCAAAAAAAAAAAAAAATTTCATTAGGTTGCAAAATAAGAGACTGTTTTAGAGCAATATGAAGTATGAACAAGCCAATTCGAGTACATTATGTATTATAGAACGAAGCACAGCCTAATTTAAAATTACTCAACTCAATAGTATATGTAGATTGTACTTGTGTTTTGGTATACCTATAACCTATTATTCAAAGTTAACGGTAATTGTACTAAGATATTTTATACCCTAGAAGTATATTATGTTGAATTTATTTTATTAATTAACACAATATAATACCAATAATATTGAAAAGTATACATAAATAAATTATACAATATTATATTAACATTATATCATTATAGAAAAAAATATTTTTACTAATTCAGTAAATATTAAAATACAATATTATAATATTGTATTTTTTTATTATTGCTTTCAGTGTTATGGAAATGTCTAGGAGAATCTAGTTATCGCCACATCACTATATCTATATATGTTTAATATCGACTAATAATTGTTCATTTCTGAGATTGCAATTAATAATTCTCCTAATTTGTAAAAATTATAGAAATTATACTAGAACCTAGTAGAAATCCTACTAGATCTACTATAATATTATAGTATTATAATTCTGTATTTTTGTATGAATAGTTATTAGTCAATTAACAAGAGAATCACATGTATACTAGGTAGGTAGGTATACCGAGATTTTATGCATCTTAAAAATTACAATATTGGTATTTACTTTTTAATTTTCACAAAAACTACTTATTCCGTAGGTGCGTTATTAAGGACATAAGTAATTGAAATAAATTATTACAGTATATAACACTTTTACTGTATAATCAAAAATGGTTATCATGTTTACCATTACAAACAAAATTTAACCAAACATTCTTTAATTAACAACTGCTTATACACCATTGTAACATTTTAATTTGAAATTTAAATAAAACGACAACTATTAATAATTATATTTTAATCTCACATCATGAGTATACCTTCGTCGTTCACAGGTTTCACAGCTGAACCCTAATTTACATTTTTTTATTGGTTATATCAAAATAAACTTTTGGAATAATTATTAAGAGGACATACCAGTATAATAATATTGTTTTCCGTCTTACTCATGACTATCTGTAATATAGTTAAGACCTCCACGGCTACACCATTATTTCACTCATCAGTCATTGTGATTATATTGTTGAAATTTATTAAGGTATTATAACAATTAATAGTTATAGAAAATAACATTATAATACATTAATATGTCTTAAAATGTGTTTACAGTTTTGTCAATATTTTTATTTTTAAGAGAATTATAAATTATAGTTATAAAGAACTACAATCTAAACAATAATAACTTTCTTAAGAATTTAAATGTTTGAAAAAAAGTTCCATACATAACACAGATGGTGTTATGTTACTGTAATAATAACTTATTTCAATAATGAAATCACAATTATTTGTGAAATACGGCGAGTAAAATACTATATTCTACATTAATAAAATGGGGAATAATGTTTTACTGATTCACGATTAAAGAGAACATTTTAAAAATCACTCATTAATTTTTAAATATTTTATAATAGGTAAACATATTTTGCATGGTTTTATATTTTTGTAAAATAATGCAGGTTGACGTTGGTGTTAATATAAAATATGCCAATACGGTAATTTGGTTACTAACATTGGTGTAACTAAGGGTGGAGGGGTTGCTTATCCCAGGGTGCCCGCAGAAATATAAACTGGGGAGGGGCCTAAGTCAAAAATCTGATAATACAGTACGTCAACAATTAATATTAACTAAAATAGAGGCGGGGGCCATGTCCCCTGGGCATCTCCCTGCGGACGCCCATGACTTTGCCCCTCGTGGTTAATTGCAAATCCTAGCTTAAAAAAAACTGTCATAATGAGTCCAATTTGTAAAATAATTAATAATTATAGATGTATATAATATATATATTATTGATGTACCATGTACGAGTTGATGTATGAGAAGAATATTAAAGCATATAGGTAGCTACATCAACATCAGGTTGAGTTGACCCGAAACAGAATGAGTGATCTGTCTTTAATAAATATAGAAGTAGGATTATCTAATAAGATTATCGATAATGATATTTTATAAACATTTGCATCTAAATATAGGCATTTACGGTGTACATTTATAATATATATATTATACTTATTTTATTGCTTACATTTTATTTTTAATGATGAAGGGGGCGGCGAATTTGCTCTGTGGTTTATTTTGAACTTTGGACTTCTAGGACTCTAGCTCCTGTAACTATTAAATCCTAATAACGCCCATGGTTACTAGCCTATAAAACGTACATAAAATATTTAAACATTTCTAATCAGATGCTGTTGATAGTTTAACTTATTTTTTTATTGAACTAAAACACGCTACAATCTATAATATAAAAATGAATCGCAAAATGTGTTGGTAAGCGCATAACTCAACAACGCCTGGACCAATTTGGCTTAATTTTTTTTTAAGATGTTCGTAATTGCCAGAAGAAGGTTTTTACGAAAGAAAATTTTAGGAAAATCTACAGGAAAAGTAGGAAATCTGGATGTAAAAAAAGAACAGTGGCGCAACAGTGTATTATATTATATTGGTTGCTATTGGTTAAACGGGCATGTTTGTTGATTTGTATTATTGTTTTTTGTCAATATATCCTATTAATATTATAAATGCGAAAGTTTGTGACTTTGTTACTCTTTCACGTAAAAACTACTGGACCGATCATGATGAAATGTTTACACTGTGTGTATTTTGGTCCAACTTAAAACATAGGCTAATTTAAAAAGGGAGAGGACCAACCCCGGGAGGTGCTCAATCGAGAATTTTGAGATTTCAGATGGAAATTTTTGTTTATAAATGGTTGCCATGGGGTTTTAAGCTATTATAGTAATAATAATAATAGAAAAAAAAAATAAATTTGCTTTACTTTTGAAATATAAATTATGTTTAATGGGATTAAATAAATCGATTATTTTAATCAAACGTAGGTGGAATTAATTAAAAACGACAAATTGGTATAACTTTGATACTTTAGAATTGAATTACTTTAGAGTACACATACGTACATACAGAACGGGGTCCGCGATCTACCGCAGGTAGATTGCCTACCTGATAATTTACTGCTGCGATTCAGAATTTTTATTCTGGGCAACGAAAAAGTTAAGATAAATTTTGAACACCGTACACCGAATATTAAATAACGAATTGAACAAAGTTTGAGTAATATAGAGTTGATACATTTAACGGGCAACGAAGTGTACGGGATCAGCTAGTTATTAATAAAATGGTATATTTTATTTTTGAAACTATTGATATCATGTTACATATTTAAGTATTATGTAATATTCTTCCTATTTCATTATGTATAATATACTATATTATGACATTATGTAGGTACTTACATTCTTAGAGGTATTTAAAAAAATCGAACATAGGGAACACCGTCTAGTGTCTACCAACTTAAATAAACCTATTAAGTAATTATTTCAATAGTCAATGTCATAAACATAATATTATGTAGGTTTGACATTTTTATAAAATAATAACTCTAATAAAAACATAAAAAATATATAATTTACATTTACTTAATCTTCTAAATTCTAAGGTGGAATTTTAATGAAAGTGTACTACCTAATTTAATTAAAATTAATATGTTTACGATGAGTATTTCATAGAGCTATTATAGTCCTGTACAGTTGTATATTACATTATTACTATTATAAATTATTACCTATGTATAAATTATAAATACAATATCCAATTCCTGCCAAACACATTCTATAGCCATTCTAGCCATTTGACTATTTGAGGACATCCTTCCCCAAAGTAGATTCTTAAATCACATCTTACCATTTGCGATTGAATTACGTATTAATCTTAATGACATTGAGTAATAATGCATGATTGAATTTTAACTGAAAAATATATTGGTATAGTTTTATGATCATACTATCATAGACGTGCAACGTGTTGAAGTACCTAGTATTTTATCAACCAATAAATACTATAGTAGGACAATAGTAGGTATATCTTTTATATGTGTATCATATATATGCGTAAATAGGGGAGAGATTTAGAGGCTAAGCACCCCTAAACATTTCATAAATGTTGTTTTAAGATATATTAATATTATTTTAGCTAATATTTACAATATTATTAAAGTAGCCCCCCTCCCCCAAAATCCCAAACTCTATTTGCGCCTGTGATGTGTACCTATCTATATATTCTGTATATTAAATTTAAATTTCGTTTTTATTTATTTCTGGTTCTGTTCTCCCAGATAATAAAATAAAATATAAAATTAATATGTCTTATAAAATATATATATTTAATACTTTATATAGGTCCCTATTAAAAAATCATCATTTTACAACTATTGATCATGTGATTTATGAACTAATTAAGCAATTTAAATAAGAATATAATATATATTTAGGTAGGTACTAACAGGAAGTCGTTGTTTGGAAACACCTGTTTTACATTATCGATTGATGGTTAAAAAACGAATAAAAACCTATTATACATAATTATATGAATGAATATTGTTAATTGAATTTTTATTTTCTACAGGTGTTCACGAGCTGCCAAAGACCGATTATGCGGACGACGCTTCGTCGGACTCTCGTTCGTCCAGCGGCCAGTCAATATCGCCGGTCCGATGTTGGCCAGCTATGGCAGGTCTACCCACCATCATAAACAATAACAACAATAACAACATCAATAATAATAACAATAACAACAAGACTTCCTCGTTGCGGTCATCCAGCTACGACCCAAAGGTAACCCTACTGCCCGGGCTACCGGATAACTCGGCCGAGTATGAATATAGTATTTTATATTTATCATTATTCACGTCTTATTAGTTATTACAGACTACAGTATTTATTATTATGACGTGATAGTGATATAATAAAATACCTATATAATACACATTCAGGACATTAATACATGCGTGTCGTCTCCAAAATTAACAGGTGCACACGGAATCTAAGCCGCCGTACTCGTTTTCGTGTCTGATCTTCATGGCCATCGAGGACTCGCCCATCAAAGCGCTGCCGGTCAAAGACATCTACGGATGGATTGTTGACCATTTCCCGTACTACAAGAACGCGCCCACCGGCTGGAAGAACAGCGTTCGACACAACCTTTCGCTGAATAAGTGTTTCAGAAAAGTGGAAAAAGCTCCCGTAAGCCTATTTTGTTCCTAAGTTGCAATGCCCCACCGCCAAGAGCAGATAGTTCTGTTGCAAGCCTTAATTAGGTCTCGATTTTCCCGATTTTTTTTAGTATGTACTATGAATACTAGATGTATTACAATTTAGAGAGCCACGTTTATACTATTATTATAATTCATAGTACTTTTTAATTGGATAAAAAGTCGATTTATAGTAATTTTTAAACTCAATAATTACTTTTATATTCTATATCTATGATAATATATGGTGGAATTATGATAATGTTGGAATAGAAAAGAATATAATATGATTATTTTGGTTCTAAGTACCTACCCATATCTAAGTCGTTCTTGGTATTTCACTATTTCTTACTGCCCAGTTTGAGTTATAGGTACTGTCCGTTAGAATTAGACTTAATATCCATTATTTAATATTTATTCATACAGATTATTATATAAATTAAATATAAATAATGGCTGTGACGTTATCTCTTTGGCGGTAGAGCCGCAAGTAATATTCGGTGAATATTATAACAACAACAACCACAACAATGCTTAATTTGTCTTTATCCTCTCCCCACAGAACTTGGGCAAAGGTTCCCTTTGGATGGTCGAACCCTCGTATCGGCCGTGCCTAATCCAAGCATTGCAAAAGACCCCGTACACTAAGGGGTACAGCAAAAAGTCGACGGTGAACACGAGTCTGACGGTTCGGGGCGAGACCATAGAGGCGGTCAAGGAAGAAAGGAGCGAGGACGAGATGTCCACGGTGAGTGACGTGGACGCCGCGACCGCAATGTTGGTGCTAAAGCATGGTCCTCACGTGCGCATTGTGCACAACAGAGGTTAGTTCGACAAAACCATAACATTACTGTAATAATGACAATAATCTTGAAATAATATCATAATGCCCAGACTATTAAAGGTATCGTCAGTGGCGTACACGGGCTGGGAAATTAGGAGAAGTTACATTGATCACGTTAAAATATACATTTTTTTTTTTACTATTCAGCGTTGACAGTTGAAACGTATAAAGCATTAGGTGTATAATAAATTATAATTCAATATTGAGCACTCTTTGCTTGATTGGCCACTAATAATCACGTGTTAGTGTTTCACCTGTATAATTAGATAAACATAATATCATCATCGTATATATTATTAAATATGACTATGTGATGATAGCTTATCGTTAGCAAGAAGAATATAGATATATCCACCATTCCACCTTGATCGTTATAACTTATAATTGTATATACATTATACATTGTATATAAATTGCATTACTTATCAACATAAATCCAAGCAAAATGTTTTTTCATTATATTCCGCTCATCTAAACTTAAAATACTTGTAAGTTTCAACTACAATTATTAATTAATTATACTCGTTCAGTATTTTATTTTTATGCATCGAGAAATATTCTGAAAAATATTCAGCTTTGGAATATTATATTAAAAATGTATATTGTCATTGAAATAAATTATGATAACAAAGAATCTGAATAATAAAAACAATAATTTTTTTTTTTTGAAAAATGTTTTTTTGTTTTGAAAAATATTAATATATTTCGAAATAATGATAAATGATGATATAATTTAACGTATACCATGTCTATGGGTCTATATATCTATACCATGATTTCCGAAAAAAAATTGCAATTACCAATATGATTAAATCGGCCTGGGTGTCTAGATCTTTTATTTTCAAACTTAATTTTTTTTTGATTGAGAAATGTTTTTATGTTTGCGATCGGCGGTGGTAATAATTTAATGGAATCAGTACTATATTATAATTTATAATAGAGACTACGGACGTCGTAGACCTATACGGAAATGAAATCCGTTATAACAATGTAATACCTATATGTGACTATAATAATTATAATATTATATCATTTGCAATGGCTGCATTTAAAAATAATATGGACAAGAGCGCCAGCAGGGGGGGCAAAGCAGCCATTTCCCCCTGGGAATTTTCAACTGCATATACCTACAACCTACTTGTATTTCAATATCACTATGACCAATATTATACTATAACTTATAAGTAATTTTCATCTTGTTACTGGTGGGATTTTATCTTGCGGACTCGCTTGATGGCAGTGGCAGATACTTTATACTCTAGATCGATTCGTGGTGACGATGACACGATGTGATTAGTATAATATTATTGTATTGTATATAATATTGTATTTTTAATTACTATTATGTTAAATTCGGTCATTAACTCGCTGTAACAATAATGTAGGCAGGAAAGACCTTTTTTTTTACTTTGAGACGTGCAAGCAATTTTAATGGGTCTATTAATTTCAGATTGGCAGCTAACTCAAACAAAACCTGACACGGATCCAGAACTAGCCGGGGTACGTAAATGTCTACATTGAATAATTTTCGGTAACATTATTTGATTACCTTGGCTTTTATTTTTACGTTTCCCCACACACGCGTTTGTTCCGGCGTCACGCGTCTGTCAGAACACGGCGTTTGTAAGTTTATTAATAAACATCGATGGAACTGCTTAAACAAGAGCCAAAATATTTAGTATAGATACTTTTGTAGTTGGTATTATGTATAAATGCAGAATGTGGACGATGCTACATAATAATGAATACCTACCTACGTAGTCGACTAACAATACTGAATGCATAATTACACTTCGTTAAATACGACATTTCCAAACAATTTTACACTATACGTATTTTCTTGAAACTAAACGTTTACTTGTTAAATTTCTCAAAAACCTTATAATATAAATTATAATATTATTTTATGTTATGTGTTGGTATTCGAGGCAAATAAAGTATTGGAATAACGGCTATACCGATTACCGAGGTATACCTACAAAATAAGCTCTAAACGTATATTATTTAAATCCACATACTAAGATAAAATTAATGGACTGGAAACGAGTAGCTTATCAGTCGTGGCCTCGAAAGTATGTACAAGAGGCAAATGCGTGGGGTCGCAATGATCATTGAGTGTTTACAACGCCATCTGTATAGAACACGAACTGAGATACAAAATGTGACGCCAAACAAAACCAGCGGTAGCGCTGAAAACATTCAATGGACCATAGACGTATAATCATAGATTGTTGTATATATCTTTGAGTTTAATATAATATTATACGACATACGTCTATGCAATGAACAGTGTTGATAATAACAGAGGAACCTTTTGCGAGGCCCGCCCCCTGTCACCCGACAAACCTTGTCGTTTCCAGTCCATTATAATATCTTAGTTTTTCGTGCTTTCAACCAAATACCAATGAATTAAAACTAATTAATTTACGAATGTTAAAACTTTGAAGTGAATGATATTTTGTGAGTTTAAATTTGCAATTGTATATTTTGTTTCACATGACGCGACGCATTGACAGTGTTGGGATGACACTTTTTTGGCAATTAAATGAGTCGCCTTTTAAAACTGAAATTAAATTATTTATTTAGTTACTTAATTTTTATTTTTATGTTAAAAAATATCACTTAGCTTTAGCTTAATATTTATATTTTCAATACATTAACTAAAGTAATCACAATCAACGATGTGAAATTGTATATGGATAAAATGTTTGCTTAAGAACCAAAGTAGACAATAATAATTGTTTAACACATTATTTTTTATTTTTTGAATAACAATGTATTTTCCAAATTAATATACCTACTAGTTTTAAATTAGTACCTACTTATTAAAAATTAAACTTTTTTGTCAAACAGATATTATAAAAATGTTACTGTTGTCTGTCAGAAATTCGTACTTACCTATATAATATGATATATTTACAATTTACATAAAATATTATCAATTAATTGATCCTATAAATATTTATTAAAAAAAAATAAAGTAACGAGTAATTTAGTTATTTTACTACATTACGTAAAATAACTTAAAATAAGATGTGATTAAATTACCATCAAATTACTTAAAAAGTAATTTTGTTACATAGTTACTTGTAACTTAGTTGTTGCTCCTCAAGTCTCAACACTGCGTAGGTATTGATACTTGATATAGGTACCTATCCATATAGTAATCCCAAAAAATTAATACTTCATAATTTACAATAACAATTAACTAAAGTTGAATGTTGATAGTGTAATTAAAAAAATTATGTTATTGAAAATGTGTCTTTTGTTTTTTTTAGTGCTAACAAAGAGGGGTGCTACAACAGCATATTTTACTGTGTTTATTTTGTGCTAAAAATCATATTATTATACTTAGCGTATTATAAGAAAGAAAGTGAAAACTTCATTTTTTATATACTTTCTAACTGACCATCGCAATATGTTGTTATTTTCAAAAATAAACAGATATGCTTTTTTAGAAAATTAAAATGTCTTTATAATTTTATATACAAAGATTTAGTATTCAGTATTCACAAAAAACTATCTCAGCTAGTTGAATTCTAGTCTGAATATAAAGTGTCAGACTGTATTAGCATTATACTTTTGTTATTTCTCAAACTTTTATAATAGTAAATAGTAATTACTGATAGTTAATCTAAAACCAAATTTGAAAGATATTTATGTGGCATTATAGGTATGTATGAACCCGTGATATATAAATTGAAGAAACTACGAATTAATTAGGTACAAACAAAAGACACTAAATACAAGTGTATAGGTATCGGCTTTATTAGCACTAATTAGCATTTAGCTATATAGATTCAATAATTAATAACCTTCATGACCAAGAGTATTTTGGAAACATACCTATGTAGGTAGATAGGTGTTAAGATATTGATAGAAACGACTGTTATAAATTATTTATAGTTTTGTAAGTTAAAACACTATTAATAATAAGATAGTTAATTTCAATAATATTGGGCGTACCGAATTATTAAGGTGTAGCATAGACAATTTTACGCTCAGCCAATCACGTTCATTTCCGAAAATTAGAGTGAATTGACCTCTTATAAAATGTAAAGGTAAGATTATAATCTAGGCAATGACATAGGATTTTTATTATATTTTAATTTTAAAGTTAATTGTGAGTATTTTCAAATGTACAAACAATTTGCAATTTTTAAATATTCATAACTCGCTTTAAAATTAAAATAAGTACCTATAATAAAAATCCTATGACATTGCTTAGATCATAATCTTATCTTTAAATTTTATAAGAGGTCAATTCACTTTAATTCTAAAGATAAACGTGATCTGCTGAGCTTAAAATTTGCTATGTTCAGCACATGTAAGGCGGAGACAACAAATGTCACTGTAACGTCCCCTTAATATGCTTGTGTTTAAAATAAAATATTTCAATAAGATTAATCAGTTTATTTACTCAACATTCTACTGTCAAACACACAATAATAAAATATGTACCTACTGCCTACCTATCGGCTATCAACCTACTAACGTCTAACATACGTTTTTTCCACAATAAAAAAAAGCTTTCAATAATTACAGTCTGTATAGTCTACAGATAATGCATATAATATTAGGCATACCTTAAGCATAATAGTATTATACACTGATGAATTAATAATAAACTCGTTGATGTTTTTCAGCTATATCCAATTGTTACGATATGCCCAAGCGAGGATCATACCTACGACAACTGCTTCAAAATGGACAGGTACTTTAAATACTACCTACTTCATTTTATTCAACTTGCTGATAGTATCTATTTATTATTGTTTATTTAATATTTTCTACTTCGCTGTGGGTATGAAATTTAAAACCTATGCCGGTATACCGAAATATACGGATACCACACTGTCCTCCACACACACATGTTAAGTGTTGTCTTAGTCTTGGGTACTTTTAGCGTACCTATGTTTTTTTTTTATATCATGCGTTTAGCAAACCCAGTTTTGTGTCGTTTATACTGTTTTAGCTTTAATATTACCAATTTTGAGTGAATTATAAGTAGGTACCGCCTATGTGAAATATTACAATTTAAAAATGATCATACTCACTTAAAAATCCAACTTAATCTTACCTTCGAGTTCGATGATAAGTCAATCTACTTTGATACCTATTAAAAAGATAACAACACAGTCACACAGAATTGGTTTTGCTGAACCCTAATATTCCATGTCTTACACGTCTTGCACACAGGGCCGCAACTACCGGGTGTGCAAGGTGTTCATTGGTCATAGGCCCCCAAGGCCTCGATCCGATATAGGCCCCCAAATCGATGTGTTAAAATTAATTATAAAGCTGTGACTGAAGAAAATTAAATTTAAATTAAGAGTTAAAGAAACAAATGTGTTCATATTATTAAATATTTATAATTTATTGTGATCAAATTAAAATCAAATGATTCAAACATTGTTGCGCAATTCTATAAATCAAGATCGTCTCAGTGACATTTCCAGACTGAACATAGAATGGAGGAAAACTTCCGAGATAGATGTAGAGAAAGTCATTGACAACTGTTCAAACGCAAAAGTGAAGAAAAACAATTCTGTTAGATAATTTAGTTAAATTTTCAAATGTGTTGAAATTATACTATAATACTATTTTTATAACAATAAATTATACAATTAAATATTTTTGTTTAGATAGCTTGATAATATAATAATTTATTTACATTTTGTATATTTAGGCCCAAAATTAAGATTTGCACATCAGCCCCGTCCTGCCCCAATGCCCCATAATGTGTAGTTGTGGCACTGCTTGTTGTACGTTTGTGATCACGATGACAACTTAATATTATGCGGGCGTGGCGAGCGATATTTCCATAACTAATTTCTATAATTATTTATATTAGGTTTAATCAACATTAAGGTTGTTCTTTAAACATCTTTTTTTTTGTATTCACATTAACTAAGATAATTGTTGTACACATACAATATACCTATGAACCTACGACCTACCGACGTACCATTATTATATTGTATTATCAATAACTTAATATCGCCATAATAATATAATATAATATATTCCATATTGTTCACCCACAGTCTGCACAATTCCAGTCTACCCCCAGGAGCGTTAAATATAAATGATATACATATACTTACAAATAACTAATAAGTATATTATAATAATTAATAGGTAACTAATAATTTGACGTTTTTGATAGACGTGCATAATATCTACATTCTACCGACTTCATAGTTTTTAAATTATAGTGGTAGGTGTTTTTTTCAAAATGTATTTAATTGTTAAATGCCTCCCTCCCTTTCAATCGGAATGCGACGGGTTGGGTTTGTGTTTATAATGGTTTCGTTTGTCGTTTCAGTCTGTGCAAAGAGGACGCGGAAGAACGTCGAAAAATAGTCGAGGGTGCGGACGCATTGTTGAACCTGGCCGGCATCACCACCCGCCGTCTGCGCAAACGTTCTTCGAGCGTCGAGTGCATCGACGCGAAACGAGAGTGCACAGACACCCTGCGACAGATGTACCTGAAGAAGCAGACGACGGACAACAACAACGAACCCGCGTCGGTCATCATCGAACATCACAAGGACAAATTCAGATAAAACGCACCGCGACCGCGGCGTTTAATGAAATATAGCCTACTCCGTTTAGCATTTTGTTGACTAGTTTATACGTAACACAGATTAAAATAGTTTATTTACTTTATTTATACTTGCAGAAAAGAAAGAACTTCTCGCTCCCGCCAGAAAATTAACTATTAAAATAATGAGAACACATTATAATGTTAAATGATTTACATCATGCGGGATAGTTAAAAATAAAAATAAAATGTAAAAGGTATTTTTTGAAACGGTGATAGTTTTTTCTCTCGAGTAATATAATATTATGTATCGTTAATTGAACGTTTTTGTCTTCTTGCTCTTAGGAAGCACTGTGATAGTATTTTTTAAAAAATAAATAAATTTTTAATTGTTTTTTGGTACAACCAAACCATATTGATATTTTCGACAAAAAAATGCCAGGCTGTTCACTATACTTGTTAATATCTTTTTTTTTTGTTAAGTTTATTCTTATGATAAATATATAATTACATAATATATTAATAATATATATTATAATATATTATTTTTTTTTTTTAGAACTTTATTTACTCTTGATCATTAGTAACTTATATCAAAATTGTAAAAGAATCAGTCTTAACATGCTTCTATGAAGTATTAGTGTTCAGAGACAATCAACACAATCAATACATTTAATTTATATTACCTACAAGAACTTTAACATAAAAACAAATAACAATAGTACATGTTTATAGTGAAACTAAATAAATCAAGTTCTGTTTGGAAAAGTAATAGGTGAGAGACCTCCCTCCCTGCCTTTAGCAACACAATAATAAAAATAAAAATTCTGATACCTATATTAAAAATATTTTACAAGTATTCACAAGATAATAGTCTTTTTTTTTTTTTGTATCTCGCTATTCCAACAGATTTTTTTCTTTATATTTCGTAAAAAAAAAAATGTGTTGTTTATAAAAGACATTAATATGAACTGAAGCAATACTTTTATCTTTATGAATATATAAAGTTCTATTGTTTTTTTTTTGTATTTATTATTTTTTTTTTTTTAAATTATGTTTTTTTTTAGTTAAACTTAAATCTATTTATTTTTTAATAAATAAACTCTTCGAAAAAATTACACACCAAAATATTTTATAGGTACTCAATTATTTAAAGCTACAAAAACAAATCTTTTATAAGGAAAACTGTTTTCTTACTATATAGGCCATAGTATTTTTAGTAATTGTGTTGATTCAAGAATTTAGTCAATTGTAATTATAATAACATGCTACTTTTTAATAATAAAAAAATATATAATGATAATAAAGCAATAAAAACAATATATTATCTAGTAAATGTTGATCTGTTTTTCCTCCATTACGCATCTTTTTTTGTTAATGATTAACATTAATGTTATAAATATAAAATACTACCATTGAAATTATTAATATTTATGTTTGAACTGTTCATAAGTATCGAAGAATAATTTTCTGCACATAAACTTGGCTTTTAATTTGTAGCAAAGTAAAAATATACCTGTAAATAAAAAAAATAAACATACCACATGTTTAAAATGTTTTAAATGTTATGAAATTTAGCTGATAATACCAGATAATTTTCTGTGAATGCTATAGATTTCTTCAGGTGGTGGTGCTAGCCGTTGATGTAGAATTACTGGTAATAATGATTGGATACGTTTAGTAGAATTCTGTGACCCAAAATCATACTCCCCATCATACTGAAATACTTCTCCCATAATCATTACCATATCAACATGAGCATCTTCCATTGCCTTAGACTCGTATCCAGTTAAAAACCCCATTTCTTTGGAATAATTCAGGACTAGTTCACGATTGTTTTCTGCTGCTGCCTTAATAATTTTTAAATAATCACTTAAAAATTTTTGATCAAAAGAACGAGTAGCTCCAAAATCCAATAAAATTAACTGAAATTAAAAAAAATATACATAATGAAATTTTGTTTTTTAAATTTATTATCATATTTGAGAAATGAACAGAATAATTATATTTTGATATCACCAATAAAATATACGAGGTGTGACAGACAAATAAAGAGACTTTCTATATATAACGTACACTATTTAAGTTATCTATAAAACGATTATTGAAATACGATATAGAAACACTTATCTAAAAGTGCTATAAGTAATAATAATATTGGTTCATTTTTTCATACGTTATTAGCCTTGTTATTAGTGCTAGTTCGAGTATACTGCAAAAAAATGTTAGATTTAAAAATCAAACAACGTATTAACATTGAATTTCTTGTTAAATTAAAAAACTGCCGCTGAATCATTTTGGATGTTAAGTGAAGTTTGTGGTAAAGAATGCTTATCGAGAGCTTGAGTTTTTCGAAGCGTTTCCAACGCTTTCCAAAGCACAAATGAGCAATTCGAAATTCAAAGCAATGCTCATTGTTTTCTTTGACATGAAGGGAATAATTTGTGTATGCAACAATGTGTAGTTGCTGAGGGAAGGTACTTTGAAGGTGATAATCATTAAAATATTATGAAATTTTAAAAATAAATTACTTAATTAGTAAAATCCAGTGGTCGGGAGTAGCGCGCTAATTGTAGCGATGTTACAATAGCACGCTACTTTAGGTGTAGCGATTAACATAGCGTCGCTACAGTATATACAATGTAGAGAAATACTATAGCGCGCTAGAAATTTACGGTTAGTGTAGCGAAAATGTTCATTATTTTATCGCTACTTCTAACCTATTTCATGATAATTAAAATATCATGATGTATATTTATTTATTTAATCAAGATGACAAGATGAGTGTATTTTTGATTTTTTCGGGCTTAGCCCGGACCGGACTAAGATAAGACCGGATAGATTAGACTATAATCATAAGTGCATTATTACAATATAATATTTTATATTATTGAAAACAGAACCATAAATAATATTTAATATATTAGTATTTTATTATCACTATTTTTGTTTTCGGCATTCAGCGTTTTCTACTTTTCTGTGTTTCTTTTAAGTTTTAAATATTTTGAATAGTTGAATTAAAAATGACAGAACCTGACACCACGTCATATTCAACTAGTTAGCAATTTTCAATAAAACGTTTATTTGTTTTGATTTTTGTTACAAAAATACATGAGTTACATTTAATAAACCTACCTTCCGAAATTACAAGAAAATAGTGGTAGGCATTAACAAATAATGACCAAGGACTCAAGTGAATATTTAAATAACCAAAAAAAATTTTTAAAAAAATGTAGCGAAAAAGTAGCACGCTACATTTAAACAATAGCGTTAGAAATAGCGCACTACATTTAAAAAAAAGTAGCTTTAGCGATAGCGAGCTACTTTTTTGGGGGAGTAGCAGTAGCGTTAGAGTGCTACAAAAAAACAGTAGCGTCCCGACCACTGGTAAAATCTCATTATTTTCTTGTCAGACCTCGTAAAATGAATAATATTATGATACTATAGTACATATTATAGTACTATTTTACCTGTTTAGTTCTTTCATTATAGAAAAAATTGGCCCAATTCGGATCGGTTTGCATGTATGCAAATTCAAAAAGCTCTTTAAGGCACAATTGTAACACTAAGAAACACAAATTGTTACGAGTGTCCTGATCCATATAATCACATTTGTCCAGTGGTATTCCCTCAATTAATTCGGATGTAAATATCCGTTTGGTGCTAAGTTCATCTACAATAAAAATATATTTTTAGTGATAAATATATATATATATATATATACAGCAAATCTTCACTAAGACAGAATAGCTTGGGGCCGTCCAATTTTTCCATATTAACGGAGTTATCGAACTTGATGGGGTTCACATTCATTATGTACATTTGAATCAGGATTAAATAAATTGTTTATGTTACCAGTGTTTCCATCATAAGAAATTCCGTTTTACCGAAGTTTTACTGTATATAAACTTTATAAACATAAATATTATATAGACAAATAAAATATTCATGCTCTTGAAATTTTTAATTTATAAAATATTAAAATACTTTATACAGGTAAATGGTAATTTACAAAAAATATTTTGTTATAAGACTAACCGATAACTTTTGGTACGTAATAGTCATTATAAGGTTCTAATAACTGTCTGAATTTCCTTGTACATTCTGCCTCTCGAATATAATCTACTTCATTGGATAGTTCTTTGTTTGCTACTTTAACAATGTTATCAATAAACATGCCTTGTGGAAACATATTCCATACTTTCATAACTCCAACCAAATTATCAATATCACTCTTTATGCTATCAGCAACACCAGGATATTGAACTTTGACTGCGACTTTTGTTCCATCTTTAATTGTAGCTTCATGTACTTGACCTATAGATGCGGCCGCAAAAGGCTTCATGTTGAAAGTTTCAAAACGTTCTTTCCAATTAGTACCCAGTTCTTTAGCCAATACTTTCTAAGTTAAAATAATAAATAAACATAAAATATAAAAAGTAATATCAAACAAAAAATGAATTACTTCTAATTGCCAAGTTGGCATGAAATCTGCTGATTGGCGAACTCTTTCAAATGCTTTCTGCAGCTGTGGACTTAGTAAATTGTTGTCTTGAATGCTAAGAATTTGGCCAATTTTTAAAGCAGCACCTAAACAATTACAAAAATCAAGCATTACTTGCAATCCACAATAATAATAACAATAATAAAATGTACAGCAAACCTCGAACTTCACATAATGTATTAGCAATACGTTCAGCATTATCCGGAGATATAAATGCACTTTCCATGTAACCACCTTCATCTTTTTTGGTGGAATTGCTAACTCCCAGCGTACGTTTTGTCATTTCTGTAACAGCTCCAATACCTAATCCAGCTGCGAGTCCACCAAATGACATCATTCGACCAATGTGGGAGGTTGGTACAGTTTTCTGTTTTGCAGATCCACTTAACTAAAAATTGTTTTCAGAGTTTAATTTTGTACTCTCATACAATGCCAACAATTTTTAATTACCTGTTGTTTGGGTTTTGTGTTTTTACTAACAGTTGGTTTACGTTTTTCTTTAATTTCATTTATATTTTTATCGGCTGCTTTTTGTTTTGAGTTTTCTTCATTATTACTGTAATATAATTTTTGTCCAATATTATTAGGTTTAAGAGGAACAATAACCAAGTCTCTAGTGCAATTTCCATAGAAACAATGTTTTTTCAATACATCACTAGGAACCTTAAATGGTCCGCTTAGTGCTTGACCTTCACTAGGAAATTGATCAAAAGGTACAATATCTATTGGATTAGTTGGTATAGTTTCTGCAGACTGATTATTTTGCTGGACTATAAACAAATATAGGATTAGAAATGTTTATTAGAACTCTTGTATTAATAACTTACGTGTCATTATGATAACATTTCGCAGACCTTCAAATACCATAGCCGATCTCTCAGAGACTTCTTTTGTGATGTTTTCTGGCTATAGGAAAAAAAATAATTATGATTATGAATAAAAATCTTTTGTTGTAAGACATAGCAATGATCAAAAACAATATTTGTTAGTTACTCATAATTTCTCAACATAAATTTAGCATATTAAAAAACGTCACTTAGAGGAGTCTAGAGCCAAAAAGTTTAAAAGTTAACAATAAACGAAAATGTTAACTCTGTAAAAAAAATATTATGGAATATACAAACTTGGATAGAAACAATAAATAATATTTTTATTAAAACATTTAATAATCTATAGTCAATACCAACAAACATAATTATTCAAAAACAAAATTTATGCAGAATAATGATGGACATATTATTCTGCATAAATTAACTAAAAGTTAAAATAACTATTTTGATATGCACACAAATTTTTCTCCCATCATTCCTATTAACTCATTTCATTAAAGTATTCTTTAATTTCTTTCAAGATCATGTCTAGGGTTGGGATTTTTCTTTTTTAACTTACAAGACACAATATTTTTTTAAATGTCAGGGACTTTCTTGTCCCTTTGGCTTGTAAGACGGGACACCGAGACAACAATTTAAAAACCGCATGAAAATCGTGACATACGGGATTGAAGCTCTAAGAATTGAAGCTGGACGCGGGACAAGTATATTAAAGGATTGTCCCGCCAAATCGGGACGTATCCCAACCCTAATCATGTCACTTGTTATATGTAACCATAATATCATTTTCTAAGAACGTTTGCAAGGTGTGGTACAAGTGGGGAGTTGCATCCTCCCAGACTTTTACTAATACAGTAGAAGCCATTTTAGGAACACTTTTGGACCAAGGTGTAACGTATAAATTATCTGTGTTCCTAATAAACGGCTTCAACTATAAGTTAAGTAATGTATTAATGTAATGTAATTTCAACTCAAATTTAAAGTGTTTCTGGTTAGTGAGCATAAAAATAATATAATATTACAATTTATGACACAAATAGTATCCAAATCAATATTAAATTTAAGAATATTCTTTTATAAAAAACACTGAAAACAGACAGTGGAAAATGTATTGATAGCGGTTCCTTGGTTAGTATATTGAGGTATAGTTCAATAATAAACCATCAAATTGAATTTAAAAACATTTACAGTTAAAGATACTTATTAGGAACACAGATAATTTATATGTTACACCTTGGTCCAAAAGTTCCTAAAATGGCTTCTACTGTAGTTATTTTATTTTACTTTATAAATATGGATAATGAATATACATTTATTTAAACAAATTATAATATTAAAAAGTATAAATGTATAATGGAAAATCATTTCCCTTCAAAAAACTGCTGCAGACGCCTTGCTCTTTTCAATTATCTTTAGCTCTACTATAGAAGAAATAAATTACTGTCTTGTTTATCTTCCCTTGGATATTTTTCTCTTGAAATCCAACCTTTTTTTCAGTACCTGTACAATATTATGTTGTGCTTTATGAAATAAAGCACAGTCCCCAATTAGAAATACTTTTCTTTTTATCAAACCTGATTCTTGTTTTCTAATAACTCGATAGCAATCTATGTTATTTTGAAAAATTATAACATAATATAAATAGTTGCTCAGGAATAAACTGCTTAATATGCTTTACTTGAGTTTCATTTTAAATAACTATCCCTAAACTTAAATAAAATTGTAATTCTATGATTTTTAACTTAACTATTTTGTTTTCTAGGCTACTTTTTATGGAATTACAAGAACATCTCATAACAATGTTGTTATGGCATACATTAATTACATTTAACTCTACTTATATTTGAAATTATATTATTACTCAAAATACCAAATAACATGCATTTGATATTCAAATATTTAAAAAAAAAAACGGCCAAGTGCGAGTCGGACTCATGCACGAAGGGTTCCGTACCACCATCAGCTATAAACATGTTGGCAACACTGCTTATATTATATATGCTAGGTTTTTTATTGTTTGTTGTTATAGCAACAACAGAAATACATAATCTGTGAAAATTTCTACTTTCTAACTTTAATGACTCATGAGATATAGCCTGGTGACAGACGAACGGACAGCGGAGCCTTAGTAATAGGGTCCCATTTCACCGTACGGAACCCTAAAATTTGTCATTAACTCCTTATAAAATATATTATAAACAACAATTTTTTTAGTTATAAACTCGATACCTACATACCTACATTATTATGAATTTATAAATAAATATATTTTGTTTTAATTTTTAAGTAAACTAGTAAACAGTTTTTATTTCAATATTAGTTTTCACTTAGAATATGAAACAGATAAAAGTATTATTCGTACTACTTATAGGGCTTAAAGTGGGAAAAAATTCTAGTGGTCTCCATTATATAGTTTTAAACGTTCCATACATTATCGAATGTGTAATGTATAAACCATGATTGTTTGAGCATACTCATTCCATTTTTAACTCTGAATAATTTGAATCTTAATTCATTAAAGTGGAAGCTTTTTAACTGACGTCAGAGGTAGGGACTGAGTTCCCTTCACTTTAACCCATAACTACGTAAGTGTAAAATTATTTAAATTTTACAATAATATATTAATTGTACTATCTCAAAAGTTTAGAGCAGTAGTTATCAAATCTAAGATAGCTTAGGGAAAAGCAGAATCAATATTCAGTGTGATCGACAAAATAGGAATGTTTATCATAAATGATTTGTTGTAATTGGTCCACATTATATATACCACAATATATCTATACGACCTAGGTGTAACACATAAAACCTAACTATATCTATTTAATGTTTTACAATAACATTTATATTTTTGACCAATTTAATCTATAAAATAGGCACAATCAATGAAGTTTGGGTTTCGATTATAAAATACAATATGCATAAAATATTATTTGATATAAATTTGTTAAAATATCCAATAGGCACTAGCTACTATTGCATTGCATTACTTTTAATTTAGCTGCTCCAATCCTGTCAGCAAATTGAATTGTCGCATCTTTAAATGCAGCTGTAATGCTACAGTTTTTCATGTTCCTCTTGCAATTGTGTTCGTTGGCCTTAACTATCTCTTCCAACACCATTTGTACACCTCTCAGCACCCTTGTTGCATCTGTACCTCTTGAAGCCGACATTGTTTAAAGATTTGTGACTACCTATTGTGCAATAGTGTTTAGTGTCTTCCACCATATATATATATTATAATTATATAAATAATATCAAATGTTGACTCATCAGTATTTTAATTAGTGGATTTGACTTTACTTACGTTAATGTATCGTTAAATGATCATCTCTAATATAATTTACTTAGAAATTAATTTAATAGCCAAGGTAAAAGTAGATTGATTTATGATATTAACTTTAAAGGTACACTATAATTAATATTACCTGAATATATATGTAGACAACCTATAGATAGGTAGATAGTGTTTATCTACCAACTATAATCATATTTTCAGATATCAAAACAGCTGGCCAAGGTGGATACCATAGAGTAATATATATTATTGTATAGATCTAATATATAAATATACACCTTGCAGCTGGCTATAGTTTCCAAAGATAATAGATATTATCTATGATAGTTTCATTTTGATCACGGACCACGATTAAAGATATACAGGTTGCACATCGACTACTGATAAGGTGAAATACGAAATGACTACCAATAATTAACCAGTGGCGCTCCAAGCGGCAGTATTACAATTAACCGATTATAGATATATAGGTGTAAAATTAGTTCTAAATGTCGACACATATGGTTGAGTGTTGACATTAAGCGCCACTAGTTAATTATTAACAGCTGATTTTTATAGTCACTTTGTAAATCAGTCTGGAAGCGGTTTACTATAGGGCGATGTGCAACCTGTATATCTTTAATCGTGTCACGGACTAAGATATACAGGACTGGACACAAGATGAATATTGTGGTTACGAAATGTTTTACAACAGGCGGAGTTCGGGGGGATATTTTCCTTTTAGCATTACTAGCGCCGTCTTAGTGGATACTTATGGAACTAGAAATTTGTATGATGTGTTCTAGTTCCATAAGTATCCACTAGGAAGGCGCTAGTAATGCTAAAAGGAAAATATCCCCCCGAACACTGCCTGTTGTAAAACATTTCGTAGTCAACCCCCCCACACCCTCCAACCTTGTCGTGTCCAGTCCTGTATATCTTAGTCCGTGATTTTGATAAATAAATTTTATCAATGTATTATTTATTTTTCAGCTGTGAAAAAACTAAAAAGTGTTACCGCAGATTTGTTATTTAAATGAACTAGGAAAATAAAATCCCAGGTCTCTGTTTCTTTTCACAATAAAAATTGTGTATATGTATTTTTAATATGTTTCCACTAATATTGTAACAGTATATCAGCCTTGTATTAATTTTTACACTTTTTGGCCCAACAGATAAAACTTAATTGATATTTATAGAAAAAAAAACTAAAAAAATTGAAAACTGAAAATGTCCGTAAACAGCTCAAAAAAAGTCAAAATATTTTCAAAATTGTACAGTGTATAGAAAATGCTAATATGAACATTCAGTGAAATTTTCATGTATCTACAGTTATTCGTTTTTGAATTACAACAAAATAAGGAAATCGCTACATGAGAAATTGAGTGAATATCCAATGTTGTAAAAATTTGAATTTCAAACGCTCATAAAAATTTAATTTGACTTTCTTATAGACATTTTTGTTTTGATAAAGATAGATAATCCTATAAGGAATCTTGTATTACATTTTCAAATCTTAGATTTAAAAAGAAAAATTTTTACGAATTCTTAACTCAAAATAATTTGCTAATTTTCGTGATTTTTCCATATTTTATCAATTTTTGAACTTTAAATGCTTATAAAAAAAAATTGTGACTAAGGATTTTTAATATTTTTCATCTGCCTTTGAAACAATATACTAGAAGCCCTCTATTAAATTTTCAAGCTTTTTTAACCAACTAATAAATTTTTATTGATATTTTTAGAAAAAAAACTAAAAAAAGATGGAAAATGAAAATGTCCCTAAACAGTTCAAAATAAATCAAAATATTTGCAAATATAAACAACCAGTGAAAATTTCATTATATACGTTCATTTGTTTTAAAATTACACATAAAACAAAAATCGATTTATTGGAAAACCGATTTTGCATAAAATTTCCCGTTTTTCCTTAATTTTTATGTTGTTTTTCCCGGCGCTTGTGAAAACTACTAAGACATTTTTACTTTCGACCCCCCAAAGTACCAACTAGATTCACTTTCCTATCAGAAAAGCTACTGTTGAAGAAAATCCAAGCACATTTACTGTCCTAAAACGTGATGAAAGACACAAAAAAAAATTTAAAAATTTAAAAAAAAACACAAATCATTGTAAAATCAATACATTCATCGTTTCACTCAGAATCTAAAAGAAGTTTCCTGGAAAATATTTTTTTTTTTTATATTGAGAATCGACAACCTTTAGCATTTTTTGGAGGTAACGATTAGTTCTAGGAACACGTGTTTATATGGAAAGAGGATTCGTCGCAAATAGCCCGGATGGTTACCCATCCGGGAGCTTGAGACGCCGGACGATGCTAGACCACAGCATAGTATATGATATGTGTTAACTTTTCAATATATAAGATTGCTGCATGTCTTCATGTATGTAACTTAAATGTAAATAATACCCTAACATGTGTTGGCTATATTTTTATAGTAAATTGCCTTAGCCTTGTCATTGAATTACTGACGGTTATTTCACTATTCACTCCACGGCTTACAATCTAAGAAATTGGGCGCACACTAGTTGCCTCCCGAAGTCAGAAAGGTTCATAATTTTTTTTTGCCTCCCGACGTACCCTAAATTTTATCGTAAACGAAAAAGGTCTAGTACTAGTAACCTTCTAATAGCGAGGTAATAAATATACAAGTGGTTCTAAACACTTTCAAACATACCATGTATGATGTATCAAAATAAGTTTGTAATTTCAAAATCGTAATTTATGACTTTTGTTATGTTTGATATTTAAACTTACCTAAAACGAGAAATTAAGTTCATGTTTTAGATGAGATAGATATTATTTACGAAAATGAACAATATTTATTACACAATGATACAGATAGCGGAATTGTTTTATTTTCTACTAAAACGAATTTGGAATTCCTAGTAAAAATCGATACGTCTTATGTAGATGGAACATTTCAATATTGCACAAAATATTTCAGTCAATTATTTACTATTCATGGATTAATAAATAACTATTACATACCTCTTGCTTTTTTTTTTATTAAAAGATAAAAGTGAACAAACACATACTGGTATGCTTCATGTATTAAATACGTTGTGCTTAAAAATAGATAGTCATTTTAAGCCAAACATATTAATTTATATTGATTTTGAAAAAGCCATACACAATTCTATAACATGCATATGGCCAAATATTTCTATAAGAGGATGTCGATTTCATCTTGGCCAAGCTTGGTGGCGTAAAATTCAGTCACTTCACACTTGGATTAGCTTCGAATTACTGTAATGACGATTCGATTAGAGAATACTTAACGTGCATATTTGGCCTATCATTTTAAAACCCAGCGGAAGTCGGAGATATGTTTTCAATGGAACTAGCAGCCATACAGCCTTTAGATGATAAAATAACTCAATTTTCGGACTATTTAGTAGATAGGTACCTAATGGATATTGTGATATGAATATATGATTAATTTGGTATTTATTATAGGTAAATTTTTTTTAATACCATAGATAAGTATATAATATGTCTTATACCTAGACTGACATACCGTCTCCACTCAGAATCGTTTTTCTTATACAATGATATTATATAATTTAATTCAAATTTAATACCATCCATTATACAGTGACCCACTTGTAACCTACTGTATACAGAAGAGCAACTTTTTTCTCTTTAGACAATTAATTTATGGTACATTTTTATTAAATTTTATCCTTTATTATAAAATATTCTTTAAGTCTAAAAAATGCAAAATAATAGTTTAAGTTTTGAGTTTTTTGGTGAGGTACCTATGAAATTAATTTTGAGCTTGGGAAGCAATGTTTTATTAAATTTGCTAATTTTAAATTCTTGCCTTTGTTTCTACATGCTTAAATAATAAATAATAACTATAAATCGGACGGATGTCCGCTTATCGTAAACCAGAATTATATTAATTTGACAAACAATTGAAAATTACTCTTTTTAATAAATAAAATGTTTAATACATTTAATGATACACTGGTGTAGTGTCGTAAAATGTATAAATATTCAATTAATATACAGGTATTAATTTTATTATTCTGTAACAAAGCTTAGTTTGAAGTTGTTTAAGAGTTTTCAATAAAATTGAAATAATCAGAACAATATTACTGAGAAGAGAGTAAATAAAATATAAGAAGTATTATTAAATTATTAATTTATTAAATCGTTAAGTCTAGGTATTATTAGTTAATTATTTTTTACAATACCTAGTTAGCTAAATTTAATTATATATTCGAAGAATCAAATGATTATTATCTTATTTTTACTACAATTTAATAATTAATAATATAATAATTTATATTTTAGGCAAAGTCCATGAATTAAAAATTCTTGTAGGTACATGGATGGGATTCGTCTAGGTTACGTTTATTTAGGATTAATAGGTACTTTATTTATCCACGTGTGACCGGAATAAACAATTTCCAAGGTGGAAATGTTCACTACCACATTAGATTGAAAAGAAAATGCGTCTCTTACTCTGTATGTCCAGTCAGTGTCATGTAAGCAGCAGAGGGGAATTCCAAAAAGTATTCGATTCGGTTCGTTTAGCTCACTAACGAGCCCCCGTAGTATTTGACGTCATGGTAAAATAATATGTAGATATGTCTTTGCCATTGAGTTGTGGTAGCTACCAGCTATATATAATGGAAAACTGTTCTACATCAAGTCACAATTCATTTCTGAACGCCATAAGACGTTTTTCGCGTTTGAGTACAATACACTAACACATCAAAATGAACAAACTTCTTCTAGCAGTTGCTTTTTTCATCGCTACCACGATGACTATGGTCCAGGCAGCACCGGCGAAATATACTACTAAATACGACAATATAAATATCGATGACATTCTGAACAACGACCGCTTGGTCGCCAGCTACTTCAAGTGTCTGATGGAAACAGGAAAATGTACGCCAGAAGGCGAAGAAGTCAAACGTAAGTACTTACCTATTTTTAAAATTGAGCATTGATTATCTACTGACGGTGATAGTAAATTATACATAATTATGGTTTAAAATAATTGTCGTTTAAAATAATTTTATTTTATTTAATCAAATCGAAGACCGTTTATTGAGTTACAAAAGTACCTACAAAGGTACCTAAAAATAAAGTACAAAATTACAATTTCCTAAGAATATACTAACATCTAGAATGAAACTATTAAGGCAACGTTAACTGATGCGTGAACCTACCCTCTCAAAAAAATGTTTATATTTGTTAGTCCAAAACATATTATTTATCTCTATATAATTGGTTATAAATGAAAATGTATATATGTAAATTAGACATATTATAGCGTGGACTGAAATAAACGTTGTTATATTTTCCTTTTAAGATAATTCATATTCATGTAAAATTACTTTTACATTCATTGTTTTTGTAATTTATTTTTATTTTAAGTCAAAATCCATAGTTGGGTTCGAACAATTTTTCCTTCAAAATTATATTTAACGTAACTACCTAATTCTACGTAATTTATGATTCATAATGTATTTAACTAAAATATTACAAGTAAAAGAATCATTGTTTTAAAAAGATAAAATATATAGTCCATCTATACTTTATAGGTACCTAGTTAGTTATGTCTTACGTCAATGAATATTTTACTGAAAAGTGAACAAAAATAGTTGAACTAAGTTATCATTTTGTACATTAATTGTACTTACAAAATCATAAGAAAATTATTTGGAAGATATTTACTATAAACAAGTTATTTACAGACGGGGGAGTTAAAGTTCTAAATGCAGCATTTGCTAATACATTTCAATATAATATGCCTCCTGAATTAATGGGCACTATAGCGGAAATACATGGGGCGATTTCTATTAATTTCTATATACATTTATTGGTTAATAAAATATTATATGTTTGTACATTTTTTAAATAGTACCTATATATTTTATGTTAGGTAAATAAAGGTGTAAATGTGTAATTATTTGTCGATCGTTTTGATCATTATTTAAGATTGGTTGTAAAAATAACAATACGTTTTACATAATATGCTTAAAAACTAAAAAGCAAAGAAATTTATATGGATTTATATTCCTAACTATAATACTGTGTTTATTAATATTTGGCTTGTACATAATATGGTTACAGGCTGGTTACCAGAAGCAGTAGAGAATAAATGTGCAGACTGTTCGGAAAAACAAAAAATGGGTTCCGAAAAAATCATTAAGTTTCTATATGAAAAGAAAAATGATATGTGGAAACAACTTGAAGAGAAATATGACCCTAAAGGACTATACAGACAACGTTATTCGGAAGATGCAAAGAAATTGAACATTGACGTTTAAATTAATTATAAAATAACATAATATAGTAACTTATTGTGTTATTTATGTTTAATACAAATAATCGATGCAATTTTTTGTTATAAAATGGCACATTTAAAAAATATTTCTTATTTATTTACACTTATTATATTCTTTCATACAATATTTTATAACTTTTTAAAATATAATATTTATTATTTATACATTTTTAAAAAAATATACATGAGATGATAATCAAATTTTTGTTTTTATTTTTGTCATTACTCATGAGTAATAAGTACCTAGGTGGCTAGGTAGTAGTATATTTATAAAATACTAAATAGTATTCTGAAGTTTTGAAATCGTCTTCGGTGTAACAATAAAAAGGAATATCTAAACTTAGAATACATTATTTAATTTATTCGACGTCGTCACGTTGAAACTATATATACAGCATACTTCAAAAGTACCACTTTTAATAACATTTACATTTGCAATCATTGCATTTTTATATAAAATAAAATCATTAAAAGTGGTAGGTTAATACATAGGGAAGATGGGGAGCATGATACATTCATAGAATATTCTAAAAGTTTGATCTATGTCTGCCTATATAGACATATAGTTATAGTTATAACCTTGTTAATTGTATACTATTTAATATTTTACTATGAACTATAATACAATAGGTACCTTTACTCGCTTATACACTGAACAAAAGAACTGTCGAGAATTTTTTGTGATAAGTAAGTAGGTACTATTCATTAATTTTTAATATGTATATTCCCAGAGATATTGTGTTCTAATAGGGTCTAAGGATGAACTTGCTCCAAGCGGTACATTTAAAGAGGTAGAATGGTTTACAGATGTAAATTTCTTCGGTGCATACTAGTTGCCTCCCAAAATATACGAATTGCCTCCCCATCCTTATCGTAAATAAAAAGGTTAATAGGTATACACTAGTTGTCTCCGATGACCAGGTAGTTCATAATAATATACGAGTTGCCTCCCAAGAATTTTCACACTAGTTGCCTCCCGTACAGAATTAAGTACTGATTCATAAACTTAACTAAAAAAATTCGGATAAAAAGATGCATTTATAAAATTAACATAATTAATAAATATTTTATGTTTTATTAGGTATAATATACGACATTTATATACAAATTACACAACTATAAAAATAATAAATCAATTAGGTAGTCAATAAGTCAAACAAAATAGGTAAAATACAAAAAGTTTTTTATAACATTGCTTTGGCTTATATTTTTTAGCCAATATTTGTAGTTACTCAAAATTTGATATTTTTTTTTCATTCAGATTTTTTATTTGAGTATCAATGAAATATATTTTGTTTCTAATTTGTAATCGACCATGTAGTTTAGGCTTATTAGAACTTTGTATTAAAATTACTGTCTCAGTTTGAATTAGTTTTAAAACTTCGATAAATTTATATATATTAGGATGCGGCGACTCAAATTAGCTATTAAATTTGCTATAGAAAGATTCGCATGCATTGGTTGTGCGCTGAATGCTTGAACTTTTTTCTGCCCATATATGAGGTGGAAACATTGAATCCTCTGATATATATGTAGGTACTTATAACGCATTATACATCAATAACAAACCGTGATGCTATCATAGATATATAGTAGTATACTTTAGAAATTTCAAGTACCCACGAATAATATTATACAATCACAACAAAATAACTAAAATAGTTATTCTAGGTTTTTTAATATGTAATTTCGTCCAAATTTGAACTTAAAATGACTATAAAAATAAGCTGTGTCTATGTATTTTTAGATTTTTTGGTAACAAAATTAACTATTTACGTGGAATCTTGTTTTACATTTCAATCCTTAGAAAAAAAGTTGAACATTTTATAAATTTTTAACTACAAAATAATTATTCATTTTTAAATTTTTATAAATTTTGTCAAAATTCTATCTTTAAATGTTTATAAAAAAATTGTGCCTTTTAATATTTTTCAACTGCTATTGTAACAATATATCAGAAGCCTTGTATTAAATTTTTACACTTTATTTTAAACAGTTCAAAATAAATCAAAACATTTTGAAAATGTTATCGTGTATAGAAAATGCTAATATAAACATTAAGTCAAAATTTCATGTACCCACGGTCATTTTTTTAAGAGTGGCACCAAAAACCAAAATCTATTTTTTCGAAAACAGATTTTAGTGTAAAAATTCCAGTTTATCCTTAATTTTTGTTTTGTTTTTCCAGGCGCTTTTGAAAACTACTGTTAAATTTTCACTTTTGACCCCCCAAAGTACCAACTAGATTCACTTTCCTATCAGAAAACTAGAAAAGCTACTGTTGAAGGAAATCCAAGCACTTTTACTGTCCTAAAACGTGATGACAGACATAAAAATAAAAATAAAAACACACATCATTGTAAAATCAATACATTCATCGTTTCACTCAGAATCTAAAATTGAAATCCATCAAACTAAATTCCTTCGGTTTTGTGTTGGCTTTTCGATCTAATTATCTAAAAACCACTTTTTTTCATCGACTTCAGCCCCCTTATATAAGATCTATTTTATGATACGGAATTTATAAATATATTTAAAAATATTAAAATAGAGGAAATTTATGTTTAGATTGGTCAGAATCTAAAACAAGTTAGCGGAGCTATGTGTGGATGATGTGTTTCTTTTAAAATTTTAAAATTTATGTTTCTTATCACCATCTGTACACGATAAAATTCACATAATCAAAATATTTTGACTTGTTTTGAGCTGTTTACGGAATTAATACATTTTCAGTTTTTTTTGTTTTTTCTATGATTGCCAATAAAATTGTATTTGTTGTGTAAAAATGCTTGAAAATTTAATACAAGGCTCTTAATATATTGTTACAATGACATTTGAAAAATATTAAATATACAGTCACAATTTTTTCTTATAAGCATTTAAAGTTCAAATTTTGACAAAATACGTAAAAATCACTAAAATGTGCAAATTATTTTGAGTTAGTAATACATAAAAATATATTTTTAAATCTAACATTGGAAAATTTAATACAATTTTCCTCAAAGTCTACCTTTATCAAAAAATAATATCTACCTTAAAATCAAATTAAATTTTTACATCATTTTATATTCTCTCGATTTTTATCATGTTTAACATATAGCTATTGGAACGAAGTTCCTTATGGGGCGTTAGGTGGATGGGAGTCGCTGGAAAAAAATCGCAACACCAAAAATCGCAACACCAAAAAGCGTAACACCGAAAAGCGTAACACATTGCTCGGCTCGGCTCTGCTCGGCTGCCGGCTTACATATCCCCTCCCTCCTCTCATATTATCGTATGTCCCCACTAGGATCGTACCATCTGGCAACCGGGTTCCATTCGCGTAGGCTACCCAACATCGGTCGTCACGCGCGTAGAGGTGATCGTCGGGCGGAATGGGGGGGGGGGACCCATTAAACGAGTAATTATTTTTGACGAAGCATAACTTAGCCGGTATTCGACTTAGAGACCCCGGACCAATGGGCATCTCAATTTTTTAGGCCCCAGATGAATTTTCAACATTAGGGAACCAAAGCCCCCACCCCCCCACATTTTGAGTTGAGTGTAACTCGGCCGGAATTCAAGTTAAAGACCTCGGACCAAGGGGGAACCCATTCTTATTATGAAGACTACAGTTTTCCGCTTTAGGGAACGGGGGCACCTCCTCCCCCCCTTTTGGATTTTGCTTTTTTGATGGATTTTGGTCCGGGAGAGTACTAAAACCCACCTCGCCAAGGGGAAACTCGGGGTTTTGAGTTTTTGATGGGATTTATTGGGATTTTCATAAATATTGTTTTTATTGATAAGGAAAGTGATAAGAATTTTATTTTCAAAATAATTTTTGCCCCTTAAATTTATAAATTCCATTGTGATTTCCATTTACCTTCTTCTCTATATACATACAAATCTATTAAACAAATGAAATTAAAATTTACTTTTGAAAAACGATAATCGAGTACAAGTTGTATCAACCGTATCATTATTAAAATTTCTTTCAGTAGAATTTGACTTAACCATCAATAGGTTTTTTTTTTTTTTTTTATTGGATAACCCGCGGCAACATAGGCCATTGGGTGTTGGTAGGGAACTGTAGGTTTTTAGTTTGGGTAGGTTGGTACACGTGTGTGTTTGTGGTGGCAGAATTTTTATTGGGGCACCCGTAGGTTTCTGCCATGCCCCGGGTTGGGGGATGGCGGCACTTGTACTCCGGACACCGTGACTTGCCCGGAGAAAAATGCCGCCCAGTGGTCGAGAGGCGAACCCGCGACTGCCAGCGCCGCAGTCGACGCGTTAGACCACTCGGCCACCTCGTCCCCCATCAATAGGTTTGTTCCATAGACATATTAATATGTCTATTGTCATTTATTAATAATCCGTCGGAATCTACAACAAGATACAATACCACTATCGATGCGGTTTTTTCGAGATATATAGAAAAAATTCAATCACAAACATACGTGACATATTTCAGCTACCACAAACCAATATTTACTGTTATTGAGAATACTGATTAATTTCATAATTGCTTTGTACTTTTATAATGATTAAAATACCATTTTTTTATAATACTCAGAAAAAATTTATTATAATTTTATTACCATGCGCGCGATATATTTATACAAGCATTCATTTCTCTCTCTGTCTCTCTCTCTCTCTATCACTATTTATTTATATTTTTCTAACCTTATATGTTTCCGCGTCTCGCATCACATGCACTGAACTTCGTTCCTGCCGAGTGTTCAACAACACTCACTGTTTTTTATTTTCTTATTTATTTATTTATTTTTTTATTGGTGTAACGCCCTGGTGGGCTCAAGTACAATGACAATAAGATTTATAATAAAAACATTGGTAGAATAAAGATACAAGTACAATAGTAGTATGAATTAAGTACATAAAACAAAATTTACAAAATAACAGATAATTTTAGTGATATAACAAGCTGCTAAAAACAGTGTTTTAAAGAATACAAATTATTCATAATAAACGGATCAAGTTTTAAATTATTGCACTCTCTAGCTATTCGATCAATAGGGTTATAAGTGCTGTAAGATGTTAGATGGAAAGGGATTTCAAATGTGGGACAAGAACGTGAATGAAATTTAGGAACATGGAAGTTTATAAACTGTAATAGTTCTGGACAAGATATAACACCATTTATTAATTTAAATAGAAAGCAGATGTCTGCATATTTCCGTCTATTAACAAGGGGATCTAATTTGAGGGAATCCTGTATAGAATTAAGGGATATTGACTCAGATGGATGATAAATGGAATGCATACGTCTCTCTCGATTAAACGTAAAAATCTTCTTTGTACACGCTCAAGCGATTCCACCAAACCGACTTGTGAGGGGTTCCAAATAATTGAACAGTATTCCAACGTAGGTCTAACTAAAGAAATATACAATGTTTTTAGACACTGTTCGTTCCTAAACTCTTTGGTATTCCTAATTAAGAAGCCGAGAGTTCTTAAGGACTTCGTACAGATAAGATCGACATGTGAATTGAATGATAGATCGGTTTTAAAAACTACCCCAAGATCTTTATTGATACTAATATCCTCAATGTGATTTCCGAAGAGATGATAGGCATTAATTAATTTGGTTCTTGAACGGGAAAAAGACATTTTGAAACATTTAGTGGTGTTCAGTTTTAACCCATTCAATTGACACCAATCACAAAATCTGTTCAGGTCATCCATATAAACATGACCTTAAACATAACCCATATAATTTTCTATATACTTTCAGATTTACACAAACAACAAAAATATCGTCGGCTCTTCGCCACCTGTTTTGTGCCGTTTCACGGTCATATTGTATAATTTATTGTGTTCTGTGGTAATAATTTAATAATTTGGTGCTACTCTCATATGCGGACTACAGACATATTTCTTCTCAAGTATGCGGTCTACCTTATATATCGCTTGTATATCGCATAATACCTATATTGTAATACACCATGTTCATATTTTCATAGTTATAATATATTATGTTAATATATTTAATAATAATATGTCTACATAAAAAATTAATGTAAAAAATAATAAAAAATGTACGATTAACTGTCAATAATGATGTGATAAAAGTCACATAGTCAAAAAATAAATATAAAAAATAATAAATAATAATTTTAGCGATAAACTTTTTTAATATCCCTCAGAAATTCTATAAATATATCAGGTTCGTCATGGTCGAGATAGGATTGAAGTAATTTTTTAGTTATACCTCTCATTGTTTTCATGATATTTGTCTTTGCATCCAGCCATGATCTCTCTATGCTTTGAGTGTGAGCCCCCGTCAAAGGATCCAAGTAGTTTTGATGATGGTTGACCGTTTTATGTATATATCCACTACCATTTAAACATCTATAAGCCGCCCACTCATCAGAGTGAATAATATATCCAGCTTCACATTCTCGCTGTATAATTGGAAGTACTTAATGTATTTTTGTCTCTTCGAAGTACATAAAAATATCGGCAGTCAGAACCTTTTTTTAGACCAAATACCCATCTACTCTTTGTCCATGGTTTCTACCGTTTTGGACTTCAACGTCACTAGCTGTCTTCCGATCAAGGGGGTTGATCCCCATTGAGTAACCGACCTCGATTATATTTTCTCTTTCCGCCAAATCTAGACTCGTTAATCTGTATTAGATCAATCTGAGTTCCCACCATCTTTGGCCATTTGCAAATAATATTTGCACATACCTCATGACACATATTAAACCAGTCAGTAACTGTCCCTTGTTCCCTTCCTGTTAAAGTGGCCGTTGTTGTCAAAGAAATATCTGATACGAAAAAAAAAAAAATTCTAAAATTTCGGTAAGTTTGAGATTACCATTAGACCTATTGTTCAAGTCCTCGTAATGAAAAAATTTGTCCCCCTATCGTATACTACGGGTGGTCTGAAATCCTTTTTTTTTGCACCGAAGAACAGGACGAAAGTCACCTCCTCGATCTCGTTTTATAGCATTAACCATTTCAGAACCACATGACATGGCAATGTTTCTTCGACAGTGTCTAATAAACCGTACTCCCTTAAAAATGCAGTGGCATTCTCTTCACTCTTTGCGACAGTCAAATAAAAATCTTTTAATTGCATAATGCACACGATATTATATAAAATGGACACAAATATAAACAGTACAACACAATCGATGACCAATACCTACGTAATTAACAAACTTATTAAATGCGTTATAATGTCACACGGTAATTGTAGGTAGGTATCTTTTAATAACAATAAACATAGTTGGAAAATACAAGATATGACATAAACATTTTATCTGACCAATTTTATTTTATCTTTTAGTGGATGTACGTGTGTTATAATGCAGTTTATCTATATTTTTTTCTACTGCGATTGCGGTCTACATTTATGATGGTAGACCACATGCATTTGTAGTCCACATATGAGAGTAGCACCAATAATTTAATAATATAATAGGCACCTATAAATAATAAATTATAATTGATACTATGCTCTGCTGCTATATTTACATGAATAAACGTGTTTGTTATAATATTATATGTTATATATTTGGTTTTTATTTGATAATATTATCAATAAATGTGTCGACACGCTTGTGTAAAATTAATTTAAATGGCTTGCGGAAATTGTGTGTACCTATATTGTTCTGGTTTAATATACATTCGATTTTTTTCAACCAGTGTAAAATTCTCATGAGAAACACATTTGTATTGAATACTCAAGTTTTTGACCAAAGAACAAACATTGTTATCAACAGGGTACATCGAAAAAACCAAAAACTTTGCGATATCACGTCAAGAATTGAAGAATCATGATATAAAACATTTAAAGACCCCTTATAAAATTATATTAGGTAATACCAGTAATACAGTATAATCACTATAATCCCATTATAACGAACTCCAAGGGACTGAATTTTATTTCGTTATAACCACAGATATAAAATATCTGTTTATATCTGTGGTTATAACGGATTTCTAATATTATTTAACAAGAATCAAATACCATTAGGTATTACCTTACCCACCTGATAAAGAATCCAAATTAATGCTATTGTAAGAAAAGTATTATTTTTTTTTGAGTAAAAATCAGAACCTTTTTTTTTATTTACATTTCTTACAATATCATAAATTTGGATTCTTTATTATGTGGCTAAAGTAATAATGGTAAATTGGTAAATGGTATTATTTATAATAATATGTTGTATGTTAAAATAAAAAAATTAACTATTTTTGCCAACCATTTTGTTTTTTGTTTTTTTTTTTGAGAGAGAGTTTCATTAGATTATCAAATAAACTACTTAAGTGTATAATATAAAAAGGTAGTTATGAGAAAAAATTATTTAGCTCTTGTAAATTAAACTTTATCAATAAATATATCTCTGCACAGTGTATACATATTTTAATATTATCACGGAATGTAACTTTGTTTTTTTTTCATGCTTATGACATTTTAAATTATAACATTATATACTTATGTAAGTATAATGTATATAGGTTCTCATTTGTTCAAAAATACAATAACAAAAGCAATTTCGTAGAATTATCCTTATTGCTTCGTAAATATTACGCCCCTGACACACGCGGTATACCTACTATTATTGAAATACCTGTCAGGCCATCCGTCGGCACTTTGTTTGAAGAAATTAAACATTTAACATACCTCTCAATGGTCTATATTAATGGTCTAAATATATACAATATTGTACTCTGATATTATAGTATACTAATGTAAAGTTAAGTAGCAAACGAATCAATAACATTATTGAATTTTAATAATGCAATAGTTTATAATAATATATAGATACCTTAAGGTACACTTAACGGTACCTTAATAGGATTTAAAGGGGATAATTCGATAAGTATATGATTTTACGAAGATTGGAATAATACTATCGTCTATCATAATAATATATTATTCCGTTGTAGCCATTCAAGTATATTAAACACGCCCAAATAATATTATGTTCTTCTATGTTAGGTTGTTCGTCGTACTGCAGTACAAACACACTGTTACCACTTACCACGTTGTACTTGCTGGAGACTAACTTGTAGTTGCTTAAGTGCAAACTATATTATATTATAATTTGTAATTTATAAGTCAAATAGGATGGCCGAGCTTTTTTGGAGCTGAAAACAAGGTAGGTAACAGAAATATTATTTGTACACATCTGTTTTTGATATCGACAAAGACGGGTGTGTATTCTTAAAATGGAAAGGTAAAATATTATATTATAAGGATTATAACGGTAGTTATGATTTGCAGAAACTAGAAAGCTTCATATTTGTAAATTTCACAGAACCTCGAAAATCATAGCGCCGAAACGGCGCACTGCTATAATGACGATGGTGTGGCAGTCATCGTCCAGGGTGCGACGACATAGACTGCACATGTGGGCCACGTTGGTGTACTGGATGAGCAAGGTGGCCGGGGTTTTGGTGTTAGCCGAGAAGACCGAGGGTCACCGCGAGTTTACGGCGGCCGCGGCGTCAGCCGGCCGTTGGCGGTGGGCCGGTGCCCGTGCATGGAACGTGGTCTGCCTAGCGGCCGTGGTGCATCGGATCGCCGTGGAAACGTGGCCCGTCACGGTGCAGGCCATCACGCACCTACCACAGGCCTCGTGCTACGATACCGTGTGCGGCGGAGTGTGGTGCGTGTATGCGTGCGTGTACTATGCGGTCGCCTGGCTCGACAGAGTATCGGAGATCTGCGCGTTGACAGCGGCTGTCACGTGGCGCCAACTGTCCACGGCGGAATGCTTGAATTCAGCCTCAGCCGGTTGCTTGGATGACGACGACGACGATGACGGCCACCCTGCTAGGAGACCGTCGGCGTTCAACATACCATGGCACGCGTATCTCATCGTGGCGTTTCCAGTTGCTCAATTTGCGATGGCCGTGAACGTGATATCGCTCACTCATAACGGCGTGTGGCGCGCTGTTATGGCTGCCGTGGCCGCAGCGGCCAGTTGCGCGCCTGTTGCGGCACACGGCACCGCGGCCGCCCTGCTAGTTATGGCCAACAACAGAATGCGATCCATAAATTGCCAGATAACTCACCTGTTGCCGGTTGGACGGCTACGTCGAGTGCGATCCTCCGGCGACAATCTTGACGCCAATGATACCAACATCGACGAGAACTGTCGCCAACGAGATGTCATCGCGCAGCTGGCTCGCAGACACTGGCAAATCACTGGGCTGGTGACGGGTGGCGTGTGTGGCGCTTACGGTGTAGACCTCATGGCGGCCGTCCTGTTGGCCGCCGTCCGCGTCACGTACGTTGCCATATCCGTGTTCCACCGCCTGACCGACGACTCAGATGCGCGGACCAACATGTCGCTGGCCGTCGTCGTGCAATTGATAGCTTGGTTCGGCCAGTTTGCTTACTTGGCGTATACATGCGACGATCTGGCCGCTCAAGTATTTAATACGCTAATATTCTAATGAGAAGTGGGTCGAACTGTTGGGTTGGAGTTCGAATGTCATATCTAGTTTAAAAAAAACCTAAACGAACCGAACTAAACTGAACTCGAACAACAAGTTTTAAATTCAAATAATTCAATAATTACCTATTTCGAACTCCATATCATTATCTAGGTACCTACAATATAAGAATCGTATTCTTCTATCAATATTGAGTTAAAACAATAAAACAATATTAACATTTAAACAATTTATTTAATTTCAAAATATCAAATATTGCCCCCTCTTCGGTTCGTCCCTGCCACCAGCACTAAATTTTGTTATATTATATTAATTACTTACTTAGATCCGTCAGTTTTTAATTTAGACTTTAGAGTCTTGTAAAGGTTGGCAATACAACCACACCGCAACCACACAACCACGTGACATTAAGTTCACAATATTTATAGGGCCTGGCTATGCCCCTGTTCGCTTTGATCACCATTCCCGTGGGGTGGGGTGGGGGTTAAGATTGGTGCATGCCAATCCTTTGGAAACCAATAACCTCCTTTTGCAGTTTGCATTTTGAAATTTAATATCTGTTTTTTTTAAATATTTAAAAATAAAATAAATAAGCAAATTACTATTTAAACCCTTTTTGAGCTTATATGAAACTTATAAAATAAAGATTGAACTATTCAAGTAAATGAATGAAGTACTTATATGTCTGATTGACGATTGCATAATATAGCGTACCTACCTATACATCTATTAAAGGAATAATAAATAAATCTTATAAAATATGAAATGTAATAACCTAATGTTTTATGAAAATTAAATACCGTATACGGTACAGTAAATTGTTGTGTTTGAAAATTAAAATTTTTTTTTTGTTTTTTTTGTTTATAGTCAAGTGAAATGTTTGACAATTTAAATACATTGTTGTTGGAAATTTTTAAAGAAAGTAGACTATCTGGAGAACCATACATAAGTAAAATGCAAGAAATTGAAGCGGTGAGTGTAAAAAACTAAGATAGGTACTATAAAGTGTGTTTAAACTATAAAGGTTATAATCCAGAGGCGGATCTAAGAATTTTTACGCCCGGGGAAAATATTAAAATTAAGCCCAATCATAGACCAAGATTGAATATACAAAATCATTCCCTACAATTGTTTTATCATAACTGGAACTAAAATTACAAACATACTTATTAACTTTTAAACACATAATAATATATAGTTATTAATATATTCTGTGGACTGTGGTGTAAGGTGTAACCAAGTTTATACTAATAAACTATCACACATTCACACCAAAAACACTTTAAATTTAAAAACTTAGTTAACATATTGTTGATACATTTTTAATTACTGGAAATACTGTAGTGGTTACTTAATTGTATTTATTATTAGAAATAATAATAATATTAGTTATATATAAATGTTGAAAAATAATCAAAACTTTAATTAGCTACCTATCCTCTATAAAAATTATAAACCCTTTTACTGTTTTGGTTCTATGCGTCTCAGCCTTCAATTATAATAGATTTTTATGGTAAAATATAAAATCTTTTATTCTGATTAGGGTACACAATTTAGGCCAGTAAAAAATTGTACTTAATTAAACAATTTATAATAGAAAAAATGAAAAAGTAAATATTTAAAATCAAATCTTTTTTTTTAAACATAAACAAATGTATAACTATCTCGGTAAATATTATAATATATAATATTATAAACTATATATTAACATCATTTTTAATTTACAGATATAATATACGTATCGTACGTTGATTGATAATCTTATAACAGTTATTGTGTAGGTATCAGAAATTTTAACGAAAACACAGCATCAATAAAATATGCCTAGGTGGCTAGGTATAGTTACTAGTTACATTTTCACTCAGAATCTTAATAATTATAGTATATTAGTTGTATATAAATATGCTTGCAGTAGGTATGCTAATGCCAGTATACCAGTATATACTTAGTATAATACTAATACGAATCTATTCATAATACCATTAACTTTATTTTTTTTTTTCATTAATTCCAACGTCATCACTACAACATCATAAACAAATAATGTGAAATAAAAATGTTTTCTTAACTTCTATCACCAAGCATTAAATAAAGAACTAAAGAAAAATTACGCCCACTAAAATTTTACGCCCGGGGATCAATCCCCGGCTTCACCCCCCTAGTTCCGCCACTGTTATAATCTATACTATTGCTAACCAATAACGCTTCCCTTAAGGCCTTAAAAGGACCGCACAAAATCTACAAATTTGGTATATTATATTACAAATTCTGATTATTTAAAGAATTAGACTTGGCAGCAATCTCGAATTCATGATTTCGTGCACAAATGCATATGCATTTAGTATTTTAGCTTTAGCATAATGACATACGCATATAGTACTTATTACCTAATAAATTAATATATATTATAGCCAGATTTAGGTAGGTACATATTATTATGTATTTAAGTATTATATATTTATATATTAAAGTTTATACTAGCTGGTACCTATATTATCAGAAAAAACGTAGTCATACCTACTGAAAAAAAATACTTTTTAAAAGTATTTTCTACAACTCTGTCTTTATGTTGTCGTGTCGATTTGTGTGCCTATTTGATACATTAGATTATTAGACACCAGTGGCGTATCTACGGAGGGCATTGGAGATCATATGACCCCCCACCCCGGAGAACATGCCTAATAATTATATTATAATAATATTATGGATATAATATATGTGTAAACTGAATGTCCATTAAAAATTGTATATAGCCCCCTTGAAAAAATCCTAGATACGCTACTGTTAGATACATAGGTATAGCCTAGGAACTGATAATTTAGACATAAAGTTAATAATAATAGTCAATAGGTCAACATATACAGTGTGTAAACGGTAATCGAGAACACTCAATATCTTTGCGTAGAGACCTGCTATTTGAATTCCGTTTTTTTGGCAGTTGTTATGACATAAAAATACACATTTTTATGGTCTTTGAATTTTTTTTACTTAATTATTCACGCGCATGCGCATGTCAACTTTTTTTTTTTAAATGGCAACCCCCTGCTTTAACCACTACTTATTTTTTGCCTATTTTTTTAATGAATTTTGGTAGTTGAATCAACTTTCTAAGTCCAAAATTGACCAAGTTACAGCCAATCAAAAAAAAGAAAAATTAGAAAAAAAAATGCACTCGATTTTCAGCTTTTTGATTTTAACTCTGAAAATAATTATTTTAGGATTATTAAACATTGACATTTTTGTAACTATTTATTACGGTGATATTCATAAGTTAATTTAACTTCAATTACCTACTGAATAATTTTCTCTTTAATTTGTGTAATAAATCATATAACTTATTATAGCAGAAAAAACGTAAATTAGTATGTTGTTTATTTCTTTACATTTAATGGATCTATTAGAACGTATTAATAATTATTAATTTATAACAAATTCAATTCTTATTTAAGTTACCAATTTATTTAGTTAATAAAAATCTAAAAAAAAAAAATCTAACGAATAAATTGTTCAAACTGTTCTCTGCCGTGAACAAAACATGATTCAGCGCGAGAAAATTATTCAGTAATTGAAGTTAAAATAACGTATGAATATCACCGTAATAAATAGTTACAAAAATGTCAATGTTTAACATTCCTAAAATAATTATTTTCAGAGTTACAATCAAAAAGCTGAAAATCGAGCGCATTTTTTTTTCTAATTTTTCTTTTTTTTGATTGGCTGTAACTTGGTCAATTTTGGACTTAGAAAGTTGATTCAACTACCAAAATTCTTTAAAAAAATAGGCAAAAAATAAGTAGTGGTTAAAGCAGGGGGTTGCCATTTAAAAAAAAAAAGTTGACATGCGCATGCGCGTGAATAATTAAGTAAAAAAAATTCAAAGACCATAAAAATGTGTATTTTTATGTCATAACAACTGCCAAAAAAACGGAATTCAAATAGCAGGTCTCTACGCAAAGATATTGAGTGTTCTCGATTACCGTTTACACACTGTATATATTTTATATTTTAACAATTTTTCAATTGCCATTATAGGTATTTAGCTATTATACAATATTTTAGATACTGAGAATGAAAAACTGTAAGCTTAAAATGTTCACAAATTATTATTACATTAGCATTTCCTAGATTATTTATCTTTATTTATTTAAAGACAATAATTTAACATTCAACATAATAATATTATGTTAATTTTTACTAGTAAAGAGGTGCAGGAATACGTGTTTCTTGCGATCTATAAGTAATTTTTATTTTGAGAAAGGAGGTATATCATGTAAATTTCAAAACTTGGCTTGAAAATTCATGCAATTGGATTATAGGTACTAAATATTAAAAACAAAATATTTCTAAATTGTTAATTTTTTTTCTGTTGAGAGGGCTAACAAACCCTGTTGCTGACCATGTACCTATTTTATGTATATTTTTAAATTTTCGGAGGAAGGATTTTCTTGCAAATTTCAAAAAACTTTGTTATAAAATTATTAATGGTAGTGTAGTGGAAAAGTTAATAACATTAGAAGAAAAAAAAAATTGGAAAATTATAATATAATATGGTTTTAACTGAGTAGGTTTAATTTTTCTAACTAACTCAAAATATGTTTGGTCACAGGTTCAAGAGTTCATGCGTCAAGTAGTAGCACGCAAAGTCACCGTCCACGCATGCGGTGGTTTAATAACGTTAAATCTATCTCTCATAACCACGGTAATATATAATAATGAATTTACCAATTACACACCGACATTCATACTATACTTAGGTACACTTAGTGAATTTTGCTAGAGAACTTGCACATATTATTATCAATGACGGAGCTATACATAGTTTTTTTTTTTTGGAGGGGGGCTGAACGGTGGTTAAAACGTTTTTGGTTGAAATACATTTGAATGTGTGGTGAGAAATTGTAGCTAATAATCCCGGATGGTCAGTGGTCACCCATCCGGGAGCTAGCAACACCGGCCTATACGTATAGGTACTCATAGCGTTTCCGCAGTTGAATTTACGA